TAGAAAAAGAGGATTGTATATGAAATCATAAATCTCTATTATATGCAGCTTATTTTTTAGACCATACTTTAAATATAACATGGCAGTCCCAACACTGTCCTATTTATCTGTGTCCCCTTACGGACTTTTTTCATTTCTCTTCCTTCACTGGTGTTTTTTTTTTTTTTTTGGTTTTCTTTTTTTGGGGGGGGGGAGGGTCATTATCATTGCTCTCCTCTTCCTCTTATCACTTCCCTCCCCCAAAAGCCCTCCTTTATCCCATAGGAGCAAAGTCAAGCAAAATAAATCCACACATTGGCTGTGTTCTGAAATGTATCTCTCATTCTGCACCTAAAGTCTATTGTTGTTATTTGTCGTTCGTTCTTTGAAGAGGACCACGATGTCAGGAACATGATGCCCTGACTCACAAATGAATTGGATTTAAGTGAGGGAGGGCTTCGAAAGGTCACCAGCCTCACTTTCTCCTCCAGAGCCATCTGGATCCAAGGAGGAGATATAGATCAGAACGACAGGAAATGGCCCCCTAAAGTCCATTACTACTCTGCTAAGAGGTGAAAAGCACTCTTCACCCTAAGTCTTCCAGAGAATAGCTGTTCATTGCATTGATCAGAGTTCTTAAGTCTTTCCAAGTTGTTTTCCTTTACAATGCTGTAGTTATTGCAAAAATGGTTGGGCTGCTTTTGCTCACTTTTCTTTGCCCCAGTTCTTAAAAGGTCTTCCTAGATTTCTCTGAATCCATCCCTGTATGTATGTACTTATGTATGTATGTAATCACAGTCCAGTCTCCTCAGGTAACCCTCATTGGTTTAGGTATTCCCCAATCCACGGGGACCCGCTTTGGTTCCAGTTGTTCCAACAAAAAGTTCTGCTATAAATATTTTTGTACATAAGTCTTTTCCTTCCTTTTTTTCATCTCTTTGGAGGGGTATATGCCTCACAGTAATGTTACTGAGTTAAAGGGTATGCACAGTTTAGTGACTTTTTAAATATAATTTCAAATACTTTTCAGACTGGTTAGGTCAATTCCATTAACACAGTGTGATATGACTATTGACAGCCTGGATAATAATTGTCATTTCCTTTTTGTCATTTTTTATCAATCTAAGGAGTGATATAGACTCTCAGAATTGTTTTAATTTTATTTTTTCTTATTGTTGGTGATTTGGAGCATTTTTTTAAATATGGTTGTCTACAGCTTTCATTTCTTCTTTTGAGAACTGCCAGTTCACCTCCTTTGACCATTCAGCTATTGGCAAATGGTTCTAGTTCTTATATATTTGCATCAATTGCCCACCTGCCTTAGATATCAGACTTTTATCAGAGAAATTCGCTGCAAAGTTGTTGGGTTTTTTTTCCCCAAATTAGTCATTTTGCCATCATGCTTCTAAGATGAGTTAAAGTGGGTCAGTAACATTGAGCTGGGTCCTGGGGCCACTGGGAGAAAAAGAGAGTGGCTGTATGGAGCTTGGAGAATACGAGGTGTTGTCCCTGTTAAGACACCCTCCATCTAAAACCAGCAACACTTACAGTCACAGGCCCAGGCAGATGACATTTGCAAGATCACACCACCTATAAAAGCTAACACGTCCAGGCTGTGACTCAGGTAGAGATTTAGGGAAATATCCTAACTCAAAACTATCCTAATCCTTGTCCTGCACTAATAGGGAGTCTGATTTCCTGGCATCCATCTGAACAATGGCACAAATGAGGGAGCTGTCATTTAAATAAGTCCAACAGTTTCCCCATATTCCTGGTGACTCAGATGACCACTGGGAGGCTGGATTTCAGCCAACCTGCTCTGCAATTATGCGAGAACATCCCACAACAGGATAGTGGTCATAAAAGTAATCAGTAGATGGCTATTCATAGTTCTGTGTTAGCTGCCAAGTGAGATACAAAGAAGTGTAAGCCACGATAGCTCCTGCCTTCAACGAACTAGTAATTGAGTTTGGGAGACAGGACCTACACCCCTGAAAAGATGAGTAACAATACAAGGCAGTATGTGCTAGCAGACTGGTAGGCAGGAAATCTGGAACCTAGTCCTGGATTTCTCACTAGCTTGATGTGTGACTGTGGGCAAGTCACTTCCTCGCTCCTGGATGCAGTTTCTTCATCTATAAAACGAAGGAATTGGGTTATATGGTCTCTAATGTTCTTTCCAGATTTAACGATCCCACTCCTTAATGCCAAGTGGGAGGTATCGATATTACTGCACTGCCATGGGTGTGCAGAGGAAGGATTGGTTTAGGTTAGAGTGATCGGAGAGGGGGCCTTGGAACCCTGATGCCATCGACTTCCTGTGGGACTCTGTTGGGCACCCATGTGTCACCAACTGATATGAAATGGAGCAAAGGAAAATTAATTTATATTCTGCCCTCCTAAGAGATTAGCTGTATCAGTACAAAGCATTTAAATAACACCGGGATTAATGACTCACTGGGGAAGAGTTTTTTTATGCTAAGCCTGGTCTGAACAGGTGTGGCCCCTAGATCTACAAATTCCCTTGCACCTATAAATAGAACTTGGATCAGTACTTACAGAAGTCAAAATTCTGTCTTTGTTTATACAAAATTAAATACGAGCTGATTCGATTGAACAAGCATCGATGAAGCACCTATCTTAGGCCAGGCCCTATGCTAGGGATACAAAAGCAAAATGAAAAGGAATTCCTGCCCTTAAGAAGCTTCCAATCTGCGGATGTATTTCTACAAGAAGTCTAGGATGCTACTATAAAATAACTGATGGCTACAGAAATACCAGGAGACCGAAGGGATGGTAAGAAAAGTCACAGATCACTGTATACCCAGAATTATGGGGTTACCCGTGGTATTCACTTAGTATTAACTAAATGAAATTAAACATATCCAGAACAGAACTCATCTTTTCCCCTAAGCCCTCCCTCACTCCTACCTTCCCTATTACTGTCGAAGGAACACCCACCTCCCAGTCCTTCAGGCTCACAATCTAGGCCTCCTGGACTCCTCACTGTCTCTAACCCCCAACCCCACCCCCACCCCCACCTCCGCCGGCATCCAAGCTAGTGCCAAGATTGTTGATTTCACCTTAACAGCATCCCTCCAATAAGCCTCCTTCTCTCCTCCGACATCATCCCCCTTCTAGTTCAGGCCCTCATCACCTCATGTCTGGACAATTGCCATAGCCGATGGTGGCTCTCCCTGCCTCAAGTCTCTCGCTATTTAGCCACCAATGTGATTTTCCTAAAGTGCAGGTCTGATCACATCATCACCACCAATGCCCACCACACTCAATAAACTCCAGAGGCTCCAGGATCAAATTCAAAGCCCTGCATAACCTAACGTCCTCCTACCTTTCCAGTCTTCTTATATCTGCTCCCAGCCACTCAATAGTCGCATCCTTGCTGTTTCCTGAAGGAGACAGACACTCCATTTCTCCCACTCCTGGCATTTTCTCTGGCTATCCTGCAAGCCTGGAATGCTTTCCCTCCTCAAGCGCTGCCTCTTAACCTCCCAGCTTCCTTTAAGTCCAAACTAAAATCCCATCTTCTACACAAAGTCTTTCCCAACCCTTCTTAATTCTAGTGCCTTTCCTCTCTCCATTGTTTCCTATTTATTCTTGCATTGTATATATTTGTATATAGCTTGCTTTGCATATATTTGTTTGAATGTTGTCTCCCTTATTAGATTGTAAGCTCCTTGAGGTCAGGAACTGTCTTTTGCTTCTTTTGTATCCCCAGCACTTTGCATAGTGCCTGGCACATAGTAGGTACTCAATAAATGTTTATTGATTGATTATCCCACATTTCATATATATATATATATATATATATATATATATGTATATTTCTCTCATGATCATTTTTCTTCTTTCTTTTATTTGGACATTCAGACACGACATAAGGCAGTCATGAGCTAAGAGAAGAGGTAGGCAACAAGGTACAGGTAAAATGGTGCTGAAAACCACAACCTTCTTTTGGAACTGATATTTCAGACCCGTTGTCTCCCAAAGGATTATCCCAAAGATCTCTTTTCCACTTAGGAAAGATTTCAGGAAGACCACAATAATGGGTAGCATGTTTCTATTGTAGACAACCACCAGCAACAAAAACAAATAATCAAATAAACATACAAAATAAGGAGGAAAAGTGCTCATAAAATCCTTAGCATTTAACAAGGCGAGTCAAAGAAATTAACAAACCATCAACAACCAAAAAGATACTTTTGTTCTGTGTCTGCTTTCAGGTCTGGCAGAAGCTCCATTACCTCTGGCATTGTCTTCTCTCTTTCTTCTCTCTCTCTCTCTGTGTCTCTCTCTCTGTGTCTCCCTCCCTCCCTCCTTCCTTTCACTCTCCTCCCTCCCTCCCCTTCCTCTCTTTCTGTATCTCTCTCCCTCCTTTCTCTATATCTCTTACTGACTCTCCCTTCCTTCCTTCCTTCTTTCCTCTCTTTCTTTCTTTTCTTATCTTCTCTCTCTCCCTCTCTCATCTGTTTCTGTCTCTCCCCTCTCCCTCCCTTCCTCTCTTTCAGTATCTCTATCTCTTCTCTTTGTCTTTCTGTCTCTATATCATCTTTTTTTTTCTCTCTCTCTGTCTTTTTTTTCTCTCTGTCTCTGTCTCTCCCCTTGTAGTCAATATATAATCCACCTTCCTAGTTCTGATCTTGCTTGGCACCACTTCATACAGTATGTTTTTATTTCCTTTTGTTTCATATTTCTCTTTTCATAGTATCATAATATCCCTTTACATTAATATAAGATAAATTTCCTTGTTTCTTTCTCTCTTATGGCCAATGCGTATACACACCATTCGTTTGCACCATTGTAAAACAAAGTATTCAGACATTCTCCAGTTGCTGGGCAGATAGTTTCCAAGTTTTTGCAGTTCTGAGAAGAGCTAGGATTATTTTTGTATATTAGGTTCTTTCCTCCTTTTACAATGTTTTCAGACTAAAATCCTAACGGTGGATAAAGACTCCACAAAAGCTTTCACATCCCACTTTATATGATGTTCTTTTTATACTCACATGACTCCACAGGGGGTCCCAATACACTGGAGCTGCTCTGAGGGAGGCTTGGAGATTTTCACAGAAGGAGCAAATGAGCCAATGGTCCTCTTGTAATGGGCATATTTCTCCTCACACAAGGGAAGCTGCTTAGCTTGGAGAGTTGGGGACACAGAAGGAAAAAGAACAGGCAAAGGATGCAGCTGGGATCACAGTGCCCTAGAATGATAAAGATACAATCAGAATTCTAGAAGATAGTATCAGGTTTTGCATGATAACCTTCAGGCTTGGGCATGAAGAGAAAGAGAAATGATGGACGATAGAAGGAAAGACCACAGGCTCTAGATGCAAAGGTTCTGAGTACAAATCCTGCTCTGTGATTTTACTACCTGTGTGACCTTGGGTGAGTCACTTAACCTCTCTGTACTTCAGTTTCCTCATCTGTAAAATGATGGAGTTGGCCTAGATGGCTTCCAAGATCTTTTTCAACTCTAGAGTTATGATCCAGGTGCCAAGTGGCATCCTTCCCTGGCGCTCAGGTTATGCCAGTCACTCTCCCAATTCTTCAGTGTAGAACACCAGGACTATTGGACACAACCAGGTCCTTAGGTTTTATAGGGAGGGGCAGAGTGTCCTTCAGGTGCCTCTGATTGGTTTTTCACCTTTAATGTCACTGGCTGGGAGGTTCTAACTAGCCAGGAAGCTAGGTGGATGTCAGAGAAGGGTCAGGGCAAGGAGTAGACATGTCTATAACAAAGATAGTCCATTCCCCAGAAAGACTAGACCCAGAAAATCAGTGGTTTCTCTAGCCCACCACATCCACCACTTTGAGAAGAGTCCAATAGGACTGCAGATGCCATCTTTCCTCTGGCAATCACCTGGCAAGTATTGGATTTGCCACCTTTATAAAGGGGGTCATTGAGACATTTCACTTCCTGCTGTCAGTGCCCACATAAGCCTCTTGATAGCCAGAAAGCCTGTACCCCAGGTGGATGAAAACAGTCTCCCATGACTGCATTCTCCTAAGTACAGAGCATGAAGTAAAACTGCCTATTTGAGACCTGGGGGTGGGGATGGGAAGGGAGAAAGTACAGCCAGAGCTCAGGTTCAAGCCCATTTTCTTTTATATCTAGCTCGAGGCCACTCTCTCTGGGAAAGGAGTGTGCTTCCAGTACAAACAGAACAGCAGTGACTGCTGCTTCTTCCCCAGTGAGGCACTCTGCTCAATTAGCAGGCATCTGGCAGTGGGGCATGCTGCTTTCATCCCTGCTAAGGAAAGTGGCCGAGAGAGTTTTCTGCCTATTTATCTCACAAAGACTCTCGAGCCCTCAAAGGCTGGGTGTTTGGATCTAGAAAAAGCACATAGGATCAATTAGTATTTTGGTGCCCCCACAGTCAGTCCATCTGTTCTCTCCTAGCCTTCCATGCCCTCCAATCAATTGAGCCCTGAGTACCTAGGGGGTGCTAAGTGCTTAGGGGGACAGCTGGGTGCCGTGATCCCTCACACTTAATTGTAATCACACATAGTTATCCCAGTGGGGAAGAGCCCCACTTGGGAGGGGGAGGTAGAGTCCGTGGAGCAGTGGGGGCCCCCAGAGATCCCCTGGAGGTACAGGTCCCAGATTACAGTTGTAACCTCTTTATTTACCATCTAGCCTCCTTTCCCTGACTCATCTAAGGATATTCCTGCTGCGAAGGCCTCAGGCTATGCACCTGGATTGTCTCATGTAGAAAGTTTATTTCCTGGGCTTAAGCTGAAGAGTTTACCCATCAAAATGACACTGAACAGACCAAGCCCTGAATGACATACTATGTCAAGGTGGATGCCACCATCAGACAGCCAACTCTGCCCAGGGTGGTCTGCCTGCAGGGAAACAGGATAACAAGGAAGGACAGCAAGTATCTCTGACATTGGCCCCACTCCCGTCCCTATCCCCACCCAAACATGTCAGGCGTTAAGATCCTGCCCTTAAAGTGCTGATCTTGTCATTCCTTTGTTCCAACCCCTCTGGTGGTTCTCTGCTACCTATGAATTAGGTTCAGACTGGCCTTCAAAGCCCTCTACAACATCTCTTTCCAAACATCTCATATTATTACCCTCCATGTACTCCATGCTCTGGTCAAATGGATTGCTTATATACCTACCCCCTGTACACTCCACACATTCCCAACCCTGTACCTCCTTTGCTGAGGGAAATGCTACCCATCTTTTTTTTTTTTTAAGCTCAGCTCAAATACCACTTCTTCTGATCCAATGGCTCCTGCTGAGTTTGTATCTTTATCATGTATTGTCATTTATTATTGTTTATTACACTTATATGTATAAATGTCATTAGTTTACTGGGCTGTAAGCTCCAGAAATTAATGGATGAATGGATGGATGGATGGGTGTTTGGCCTATAGGACAGAACTAAATAAAATGGATATGAGTTACAGAGAGGCAGATTAAATTTCACGGATGAAATAATATTTATTATTCACCCATTATGTGTGAGGCGGTGTGCCAGGTGTTAGCAATATACAAATAAGAATGAGACTGTTTGTACCCTTCAGGAGCAGGGGGCTCCTAAGGTGGGGAGACAGCACATATCAGGGAGTGGTAGTCAGGAAAGTGGTAGTCTGATATTTGTGCATTCCTGGTGGATGGTTAGATGGGATATATAGCATGCTCTGGTGCTGGCTAGTCAAAGTAGCGGGGTGGGGGGGTAGTATATTATTTAAACATCTCCTCCCATGCCAGGCACAGGACAGTGGGCACAGCAAGCTCTCAGCTGATGTTTGTAGAATTAAACTGACTTAAAGTTTCTGCTCCAGTAGGCACAGAAATCCCAGTAACCAAATGAATGGTTTCGTCCTGAGAAAGAGTGTGTGAGATGGCCCCAGCGACACAGAGCAATGCTACAAGTCTCAGAGAAGGATCTGCCTTGATTTTAAAGAATCTGATGACCCATTGATACATGCCATGCAGATTCCATGGTCGTTCTGTCTCCCCAGATATTTTCATGAGCTTTTCTGCTCATGCAGACCCCAAATGAGATGTCACTAACCCTTTGTCCCACCCCCACCTCCCATCTGGGACCCACCTAAAGGAAACATTCTTGAATTGAAAGCTCTACTATCTTTTTTTTTCCCCTTTGGCAATTGGGGTTAAGTGACTTGCCCAGGGTCACACAGCTAGTAAGTTTTGATAATACTTGCTTTATAGTACAATACTAGGAGGAAATTTAGATCTCTCCTCTCTACACTTCAGCTAGCTGGTGTGATCACAGAAAGTAAAGCGTTTGGTCTGAGGCCGCATTTGAACTCAGGTCCTCCTGACTTCAGGGCCGGTGCTCTATCCACTTCGCTACTATCAAAGCTCTACTATCAAAGCACAGCAACACCACCTCTGTTCTACACTCCTTAATTTCTGTGATTATACCAACTAGCTCAGGGTTCAGGAATACAACTGAACTTTCAAGGAGAGAAACTTTACACCCTGGTGTGGGCAATGATGGGGTTGTTGATGAGAAGATACAAGTGCATAGCACCTTACAATTGTTCCTTCCCTCTCAGCCCCGACCTTGGCTGTGCTTCTGATGCTCTAGACTTCACCACCATTACTCCAATGCCTTCTTGCTCCAGACCATCCCTCCTCCCCTGTCCTTCGCTCTTCCCACTGGTGAGGAATTCCTCCATTCTGAGGCATTGCCCAGGCCAGCCATGCTTCATTCCCTTCTTGGCTCTGCTCCTGACTCTCCCTGGACTTTGCCATTGCCATCTCTTTTCAGATTCTCTGCTGTTTGCCTCCAGTAGATCTTAAGCTCCTTCAGGGAAGATTCTTTTTGCTGGTATTTGTAGTCCCAGCACATAGTAAGGGCTTAATAAATGCTCATTACCTTAACTTACGCCCTCCATATTTGACCCTCACAGCCATCCTGGGACATAGGTAGCACAAATATCCTCATTTCCATTTTACAAATGAGAAACTAGGTCTCAGAGATTCATCCAAGGTCAAGCAGTTATTAAAGCAGAGCGGGGATTCAAGCTTCCAACTCCAAGTCCAGCATTGCTCCACTGCTGCTGTGATACAATCAAAAATTTCAGCAGAAAAATAGGAACGGGGTGAGGATAAAGAGGGAAATGTATTCTATGAGGATATTTAAATGTAGGTGTCTGGTTCCCCAACATCACCCACTTCCTCCCCAACCAAAAAAAAAAAAAAAAATCACCCTTCCTGTGATAACAGGAAAATGTGCTAATGAGGAGATCAAGGTGTAAGAGGTGATATGAAAGAAAGAAAATAAAATAGAATGTATTCATCAGGTTCTATAGTGGCATATACTTTGCCATCCTCCCTTTGAGAAAGCAAATCAGCCTGGTTTCTAAGTTGGGGTAAGATGTTACTCATACATACCTCCAGCTCTTTTTCTGAGAAAGGATTATCATTGGGATGTCAACCCCCCTTTGGGATCCTGTATTGAAACCAATCATTTCTGCCATTATTCAGAGAGGAGAAGCAGCATGACAGTCTAGACCTAGTTTCTGGCAGACTGCTTTCCAGTTTTCCCAGCAGCTCTTGTCAAATAGGGAGTTCTCCAAGTAATTTGTGTTCTCAATTTTACTGAACATTAGGTTATTGAGTTTAATCGTTTCTGGTTCTTCATTAGCTTGGCTGTTCCACTAATCTACTTTTTAAAATTAGCCAGTACAAATAGTTTTGATAATACTTGCTTTATAGTACAGTACTGGGAGGAAATTTAGATCTCTCCTCTCTACACTCCAGCTAGATGGTATGATCACAGAAAGTAAAGGATGGATAACGGAGGTGTGATTCCTTTACATAGTGAGGAGTTGTCTTTGTTGGAAAGGCACCTGGCCACTGGCTGGAAGAAGATTCACCCCATCCTGTCTGCCTTTAAAAAGCAAAGCCTGCCAGCTCTACCTCGGACAGGAGTTGGAATGCACCCAACACCCCCCAGGAACAGCCAGTGCTTTGTGAGAACTGAAGTCAAAGTTATGGGTATCCGGTACATGCCAAGTGCCCTGTTCACTGGAAATATCCCAATCTTCTTGTCTCAAGCCCCCAGAGAATGTGGAATTGTGCAAAAATCAAGGTTTCCTAGCCCTGCTTATCTCCTTCTTCCTAATTTCTGAGCTGAAATAAGCAATTAGAAAGAAATAAGCTGCATGAAGAATGGACATGCTAATAGCTGGTGACCTGGCCATACTGTTTTTAT